ATGCAACTTTTGTTTTATTTGGACCAAAATATGATTCACGAACAAAATATGCAGATGGGAAGAAGTATCGAGAGTCAAAATTCAAGCTATAATCAATCTGAGCTGTAATATTGCCGTACCTAAATAAATAAATTTTCGTGAGTTTTATTTTATCGAGTTTGATCTCCAATACTTACCAATCATGATTTCCGGCTACATTGTACCAAGGAATCTTGGCTAATCTTCCTTGATATGCATTCTTCCAGACCTTTTCCCATTTTGTATCATATACGCTTGAAACACCTTCATGATCTCCAACAAAATTAATATAAAATTATCTGTAAAAAAAAAAAAAAAAAAAAATGAGATATTTAATTTTTAAGTATCTAATGATCAATAATCCTCAAATAATACTAACCTCCAACGCTTAAAACAAAATTACTATGATATTGTTCACTCCACTTTGCCATGGCTTTGGCAACTTTATTTTGATTTCCTTCCTCCTGTCCCACTTCAACTCCTGCAAAGCCCCAATCACCAAAAGTTAAAAAACTTAATTCTTTGGATTCATAATTTTCCACAAAAGGTTTGTCTATAGGTTCAACCAAGTCATGTTGATAAGCATTCGTATTGTTTAATAAAGCGCATGAAATAGCAATAATCACATATAAATATTTCATTTTTTTTTTTTTAGCATTCAACTGATAAAGAAAAAGCCATTATGAAAAAATGGACGACTTATTTATTCAATAAATTCAATTAAAAATATTTTCTATTTTGAGCTGTTGTACAACTGAATTCCAACGCAGTGAAACAAAATTAAATATTTTCAAATTCTTTATTTTTTCTGTGTAAGAGGAATTAGGACCGGAAGGTTTGCGTGCATGCAAACAACTCCTTCCATGGATTAAGTTCATAATTAATACAACCTTTAAAGAAAATTTTGATTCGTTATAAAAACGTTTAAAGAAATGTATATAGTAATAGGCAATGATGTTCAATTGACATCATTACGATGATAATGACGCATATAATCCAAACTATTAATGCTTGTCTCCAATATAGCTAATAGAGAACCTTTTTCATTAGGAAAACTAACGAGAGAGAAACTTTTTATAATCACGGTATTAGCAAAATTAACGCTTTGTGGTACTTCTTCTAGATATTATTTTATTGTTATTATTTAATTTATTCAAATGTCGCTTTAATTAATAACCGCAGTAAAAAATTTTGAATATTTTCAAATTTATTAAATTTCTCTTAATTAAATTCCAAGCCTCTTTAAGTTTATTTCATTGGGCATTTCTAATTTCATATGTTGAAATTTAGCAATGGTCATTTTGAGTATTTATATAATTAATATGAATTGTTAAGAATTTACAATAGCTCTTCATTTGCATCGAAATGTATAAAATTTATCTATAGTGGATAGTGGATTCAATTCATAATCAAAAAATTCGATACAATGAATTACTTGACTTGATATTTCAATAAAAAAATTAAACATGGTAGAATTTTAGATCATCTAATTTCACAAATGGCAAGGGAAATATCTTTGTAATTATTGCTGATTCAATTATTTTTTAAATGCGATGTACAGTATTTCGAAAGATTACTTTTATTTTATTTTATTTATTTATTTTAATTTGGAAAAAAAGATTACAAATAATAAAAAGATGCACGTAGATTATAGTTAATTCCGACTAAAATATTGATCCTTTAGATTGAAGAATATTTTAATCGAATTATCATAATAATTGTATTCATTTAGGTTATAAATGCAAAACAAAAATAAGCATACCTGAATTTAAGAAAATGTTATTCACATATTTCCAAAGGGAAACTTTGGCGAAAAATGATAATTCACAACACACTTGTCGAATGTCACTCACTTAATATTATATTCAAACTCGAACCCCTTATATACACAAACCTCTAATTCGACTCGAATTTAATATAATCGAATCAAATTTAAGGATAAAATAAATGCGATAAAAAAATTAACTAATCGCCCAAATTGAATTATTATCTGCGAAGTCGTTTTTATGACCTTAAAAATTTTTTAAAAAAAAGATATAAAAAAAATACCTATGTATTATATATATTCAACTATTTAAAAATACCTTCGAACAATTAAGACACTTACTTCATAAAAAGTTAAAGATAGAAGGTTTTTCTTAATAAGTTCTTAGCCAATAAGTTCATATTTACAAACAGTTGCAATGCTTTAAAATATATTATACTTTTGTATATTAGTTAGATTTGAGAAAGAAAATAATAACGTAATGATAAAAAATAAAAATATTTCTTAACCCTTATGAAGAATCAAAAAGGCGAAAAAATAAAATATTTATTCGTCGTGACCGGCGATTGAAGCAGAAAGTAAAATATTAAAATAAATTAAAAATAAATGAAACTAAAAATGAAACTAAAAAAATAAAGATTTGTCATGTACTCACGGAATGATAAATATAAAAAAAAAAGAATGGATGAAAAGGAAACTTATGAGACTATTGAAAAAATAAGAATTCTAAATTGCTACATCAATAAAAGATTAGAATTACCTGCTTTTGAAGAATATCTAAAAAGTAAATTTTTCTTGATAAATAATAAACTTTTTCTTAGAAATGGTTTTTATTGTAAATAAAATTTTTGTATTGTCCTTTTTCAAAATAAAATCG